AAAAAAAAAAAAATGAATGAATTCTTAACTGAAACCTTTAAAAAAAAAGATCAATACAGTAAGCTCTTTACTTACAAACATTTGAGGTGTGAACTTTCATAGATATGAATGGACCTCGCATTATGATGGTCTGGGGAGAGGGGGAATGAAAACCACAGACCTAAACCTCACAATTTCAACAAAAAACAACTCATAATGGACCATGGACTTAAATATACAATATAAAACTATAAAACATTTTTAAAAGAATAGGATATAATCTTCTGGATCTATACCTAGGAATACTGTTCTCAGAGTTAACACCAAAAGCATAATCAATAAAAGAAAAAAAAAAGATAAGCTAGACTTCATTAGAAGGAAAAACAATTTGTTCTGTAAAGTATCTTTCTTGAACAGAATAAAAACACAAGCCATAGACTGGAAACGATATTTTCAAATCATTTATCTGGCAAAGGATATTCAACTAGAATAAAGAAGTCTGGAAATAGTAGTAAAAATTCCAACTAAAAACAGAAAAAGATATTAATAAAAATTTCATTAAAATGAAATACAGATGGCATATAGATGGTAAATAAGCACATGAAAATGTATTCAAAATCAGCCATTAGGGAAATGCATTTTAGGATCACAAATAGGTATCATCAGACACCTATCAGAATAGCTAAAATAAAAAGAAGTGAAATCAAATTCAGGCAAAGAGGTAGAGAAACTGGATTATTCACATATTTCCAGTAGAAACTTAAAACAGTACAGCTCTTTGGGAAAAGAGCTTGGCACTGAAAACAAACAAACAAAAAGAAAAACAAAAGAAAACCTAAACATTCAATTACCATATGATCCAGCAATTTTATAGTTGGATATTTATACCCCCCCCAAACAACCCTCTTATCCCATAGGAACATTTATTTTTGAGAACTGTTCACATAAATCTTGTATACAACACATATCACAGATTTATTTTTAACAGCCAAATACTGGAAAAGCCCAGGTGTTTTTCAATGGGTGAATAATTAAACATTTATATCTTTATCACAGAATACTACTCAGCAGGAAGAAAATGAAGAAGTCTTTGATGTACACAACAACCTGTATGAACCTCCAGAGGATTATGCTGAGATTAAAAAGCCAATGGCAAAAGGTTATATACCATACAGTTCCTTCTGTGTAACATTCTCAAAATGAGAAGAGTCTAGAGTAGAAAACAATTAGTGGTTGCCAGGAATTACAGACTGGTGGTGAGGGAACAAAGAGCAGAGCTATGGTTACAAAATTATAACAAGAAGCATCCTTGTGATAATGGAAGTGCCCTGTTTTGTAACAACGGTGGTGGTAGGTACAATAATCTGTATGTGTGATAAAATTCTGTAGAACTAAAGACTTTTGCAATCATAGTCCAGTGATGGGGAACCTTGTAGAGCTTTCAATGATACAAACAGCCCGCTGCAGCGTATGTGCCATATTCTTCACCACTGAGTCCAAACCCTTCATGTTTTACTAATGATAAAACAAAAGCCCAAAGCAGAGACTCCTCTTGCTGTTTTGTAAGTGTGAAAACAAAATTCAGTGAATGCTGCTGCAAAGTGGCATGCAACATTACAGTATGTCCTAATGCACTTTATTCATCAGATGGGGCACCACACGACATCTGGCTTTTCCCCAAAGTCAAAATGACCATGAAATGTAAACATTTTGAATTGATTCAGGATATCAAGGCAGTAAAAACAGTGTAATTAAAGACATTCATGAGAAAGGACTTCCAGAAAAAGTGCCAAGAACAATGAGACAAGTTTGTTAGAAATGACGGGAAGTATTTTGAGAGAGATTAATGGAAATGTGTCTTTTACTAAATATTTTTTAATTTAAATATTCATCGCATTTTTGATCATGCCTTGTATTATAACCATTGAATTTACTCTTTAAATTGAAAATTATAATCTTCAATTTTGCTTCACTGAATAAAGAAGGATGGTGAACTTGGGATAACACTGAAGTAGAGATAAAGAACACTGGAGCTTAATATTGGGCTTCACCAGTTGACACAATTTTTGGCAAGCTACATAAGCTCTGAACTCTGTCAAGGACTTTGTAAAAAAATGTAACTAATACTATGCCCCCTACTCTAACACAAGATTTCTGTGGGGATCAAATGAGATAATGTATTTAAAAGAGTTTGGTAAATTGTTAGGCATTAACTTAAAATGTTATTATTATAATCTAAATAGAAGAAATGGAAATTTACATTTAAAAATAGCAAAAATCATTATATCAGTTTGACTTGCAACAACCATCAAATTATTGTTGGTGGGCTGGCTAAGTGGTTCCAGCACCTGTCTTGCAAGTACAAGGTTCCGAGTTCGATCCCCAGTACCAAAAATAAAAAGGTTGGGCCTAACCTAATGTGACTTATATATTAGGGGCCAGGGATTTAGCTCAGTGGTTCTGCCACCGGCTTCGCAAGCGCAAGGACCCGAGTTCGATCCCCAGTACAAAAAAAAAAAAAAATTTTTGTTGGCTTCTTCTGAGTAGACATGAAAAGAATCATTAATTTAGTTAATCCTAAATAAATACTTTTCATACCTGGCATAACAAAATACTTCCACATTTTTAATTGTTTTGTTCTTCTTACTGAGAGCAATGGCTTCTTCATTTTCAAGGATCTGCTCTTGCCATGTGGAACTTTCAATTACAATGTCACTGTTTTCCTAAGCAAAACACATATAAGAAGTTTTAATTAAATTGAGCAATCAGAACCCTTGATTTTCTAATAAAATTTATCTTGTCTAAACCCATGCTTTTCCTTTAAACACATTAAATCTCAAAAAGGGATATCACTTCAGAGTCATTTAAGCAATTCAAACAGTGTGCCAACTTCAAAGAAAAGGGAAGAAAGCAATATGAACAATCTATGCTATCAAAAACTACCCTTGTTATAGATTTCTATCAAAATATGTGATATTTTGATAGTCATTTAGACATGGCTGTTTTGATAATGCTTAAGAACCAGAACAACCAACCTTCTACTTGCTGAAAAACAAACATACCTGTTATCAATTATTTGTTAATAGAACAGTTTTATTTTGTTACATTTAGTTGTCAAAATAGCAGGGTCAAAATGATTTCCTTCATTCAATTTACTTTTACATCTTTGAAGGGTAGTCACTAGGCATGTCACATTTTTAAAGTATATCAGTATTTTTGAAAAATATTCAGCATAACATGAATAAGGACTCTAAGCAGTTCTGAATATCTTATATTTCACAAAGACAATAAAAATAAGAATGTATAACAAAGCATGCAAACTAAGGGCTGAAAGTAGTCCCTTAAGATTTTCAGTAATTCCTAACTATATTTTATAGAGAAAAATTACATGATATAGCAGTATTTGTATATATGAGAATTTTTTAAGATGTCAAGATATGCTTTGTCCAAATGTCCAGGATCAAATTTTAATCTGTTTAAAATTTCAAACTGTTTGATGCATATATTCTTCAGAGAAAATGGGGTTTTTTTGTGTACTTGGGATTGAACTCAAGGCCTTCACACTGAACTACATCCCCAGCCCTTTTCATTTTGAGACAGGGCCCTGCTAAGTCACTAAATTGCCCCAGCTAGGCTTAAATTTCAGTCCTCCTGCCTTAGCCTCCCAGACTGCTGGGATTACAACTTGCCAGTCAAAATTTTTTGAAAATGTGACATTTTATTCAATGGACTAGGAATGAAATATAAATATATTATTATTTGTGTTAAGTAAGTTCAGATCTGAAAATTTCTAAACCTAAAACTTTATAAAGTACGTTAATAGGTTTAAAAGGCTTTGTTGTGTTAAATTTCATATCTTTAAAGAAAGGTAGTGACATATAGCTCTTACTATAAAGTGTAATATTAGATATTATTAAATATCCTGACATAAGTAGAAGGGGAAGTAAAATACAATTTCAAATGTAGACCTGAGAAAAGAACAGTAGTAGATGAAGGAGGGAAAGTAAAGGAGAAAAGGATATAGTAAAAGAATCAAGATCCTGGATTAAAACAAGCACTAAAATGAAAGGTTCTTCAGTAAATATGTTTGTATTTAAATAAATCTAACTTATTACCAAAAGTTACTTTTAAAAATACTATTACTCAACACAAGTTTTTCATTTAGTCAACTGGGGTATTTGTTGCTGTTGCATTTGTTGTTGTTCTGAGAATCTAGCAACTTTTCTCACAAAGTATTAAATATGTATAAATATAAGATGACTTTCATGCATGTGTGACAAAGTAAGGTCTAAAGCGTTTTCTGATCAACGTAAATATGTGAGTATTTTAGGCACATAGATAAAATAGCTACATGTCTACTTATATTACTCTTGATTTACATATAGTCTGAATTATTATGTAAAGTGTTGCTTTACAAATATTGCTTATATCTCCATACTCATTTCATGCAATAATATTCAGACCGTAATTTTGCTGCATCTTGAATATCTGTCCTGTATACCATTAAATCAAATACAACTACAATGCTTAGTACAATGTTACTGGCATATACTTTACCATATTATTCTTAGTTAACTGAATAGTTTTATAGAATGTATCATTCTACTTTCTAAACAGTTGAAATTTTTTAAAGAGAGCACTTTCAGATTCCATGTAAGATGTTCCCAGTAGGAATTTCAGGGCCAGGGATTTAGCTCAGTGGTTCCGCCGAGTGCCTCGCATGCGCAAGGTCCCGAGTTCAATCCCCGGTACCAAAAAAACCCAACCCCCCCCCCAAAAAGCAATAATTTCAAGTCACATATGCACATTTATATAAAATTAGAAAAGTTTTTAAAGTCTGTCTTTTAAAAATTGGTAAACTCCATAACATAACCAACTCTCCATATTATGGCAAGTGATCTCTAAAAGCTTGGTATTCAACATTGGTATCCCACAGCTGTAGTAGTGAGATCCTATCCTTGGGAAAAGTTATTGCCTTTATATTAATTTTTTTTTCCTTTTATTGATTCTCTCAGACGGCCTAGAAGAACATGCAAAAGCTACTACTGAAAGAAATAGTTTCAAATGAATGTATCTTCCCTAATAATTATGAAGTTTTTTGTGGGGTTTTTTGTTGTTGTTGTTGTTTAAAATATGCTAACTTAAAGAGTATTAGTAATATGTGAGACTTTATAAGGACTGGGATACTGTGTGTGAAAGATAATTGGGTTAAGAAAAACTCTTTTCTTATATTTAGACATACAAATCGCTTCTTGGCCTTTTGGCTAAGATCAAGTATAGACACACAGAGTCACTAGGGAATAATAGTATTAAGTTAATATAGTTACTCTTCGGCCAACCTACCTATCTTTAAAAAGTTACATCGATAATATGAAGGCATCAGAAAAACAGATAAAAAAGTGATTGTTCATATATTTGTCAAGTGAGAGCATAAAAATAAGATATCAAGCCTATATTAATGTAAAGATTAGGATTTTCCTCAAAGTAGAGATATTATATGACACAATATATAGCCCAGCAAATGAAGAGATCAGATAAGAACTTTACCTGATATTCCTTTATCCAGGATAACAGTCCTGAAAAGCTAAAACTGGCCCAGTTACCTCCATAGTAGCTTCTTCTATAAAAATAAAATAAGAGCAAAGAAAATCAGTAAAAGTTAGCAATTGCCATCAACCAAACCATCCTTGACCCTTAAATTAATTTTATTTTCTAATACTGCTGCTTCAAGAGCTCAAAAGTTCACATAATTGTGATGTTAACATAAGAGAAAGTAATAGGCTGAAATAAAATTGAGACTCTAAGATCAAAGGAAAAATTCTGTTGTATTATGAGTTAAAATTATCTTTGGTCTCATTAGTTTCCTTTCTTCATCATGTGAACACTTTCTCATAGCACTGAGCAGGTAACATGACTATATATGACTCCTCAGTTCACAAAAATACCTAGAAAGATATCCCTAATAGCTCTCAAAAGACACACACACACACACACACACACACACACACACACACCCCTAACTGCTGAATTGTTTGTAAGCAGTTACATCTCTGTCATCATCACCTTTCACATCAAGAAGTCTCTCTCTCTCTCTCTCTCACACACACACACACACACACAAATGATTATATAAAGCAGATAAAGTGGTCACTGTAGATAAAATAAAAGCAGATCTTGGGACATAGTTATTCTTATCAAGATGTGATAAATACAATAGGAACAAAATTCCCTCACATAATTGTGTTAACCAGTATTCTTTAATATAAAATCCTGTGATGATCACTCTATTTTGGATAACCCAGAGGTCTCCTCAATAAGGTTGGGCAAACTTGGCAGACATTGGACTTAAGTGTAGAATTTTTTAGCAACAAAAACTCTAATTTTGCAATAAACGTTGGTCTTTCCAGTCCTTTCAAAGCTAGTCATATTTAAGTGACTCCATCTGACATTTGATCCTAAGTACAACACACATTTCAATTCTAGTGCTAAAAATTCTTGGTTTTATTCTCATTTTCATTATTTGCTCTGTATCTTTAATGAAATAAAAATCCATAAAAGTTCTTTAAAGGATGACAAAAATATTTTATACTCCAATTTTTTCTTTCATAATGTTATTGAACACTGTCTCAAAATTCTGATATAATTCTCCTCAATTAACTTGATATGGATCGAAGAATATTTTATCAAGTAATTATTGCTTTGCTCTAACAGAGAAAAAGGTGAAATTAAACACTAGCTACAGAAGGTCTGTTGGTACAGATCACTACTTATACCTGATGACTCTTTCATGGATAAAGTAAATTCATACTTATCCTAGAATCTGCAGGGGCCTTTAAAATGTAAATAGAATTTCAGCTACATTACTAAACTACTATTTCTAGATGGTCACCCCTTGCTAAAATATTAAAGTGCAGAAACCTGGAATCTGTGATGCCTGCATCAGAGAATGAAAGAAGGAGAAAGTGAGCAATGACAAGTATAGAAAAGAGGAAGGCAAAGAAATGGATATTAGCAGTGCTGATTTTCCCATAGCAGTTTATAACCTCCTCTCCTTTGCCTGAGAATAATACACTTTTGTGATCACTTTCCATCCTCCAAACATAACACTCAACAAAGCCACAAATTACTCTGGATATTGAATAAAATGCACTGAAGTCACTGTCTTTATATTTTCTGTGAGATAGTTAGATTTCTTTTGATTGATCACAAGGTAATAGGTGAATAGTCCTGGCTAACAAATGGGTTAAAACTTCAAGATCAACATAAATTCATTTTGGATGGATATATATATAAAACTATTGATACATTAGACATTAAAATGAAAATCTCCACAAAATACATCATTTTTACAATGGAGTGATCCAGCCAAAAGGTAGGAGTAAATATTCAAAAATATTTTGAACTAAGCACTGGTATCGAGAATAAAGAACTGTTTCACCTTAATAAAACAAATATTCACTCACATGAAAATATAACCTCAAGAGAGATAGTTGAGGAAAGAGTGGAGGATGAGTAGGACAAGACAAACATAAAGGTAAAAAGGTCACCCAGCAGCTTTTTGGATGTCTGTCACTGGCTCACCCAAGCCTCCTTACTGTGTATTGCTTGGCACCCTAGGGCAGGGCAGCCTAGGGCTGCTCTCATCTCAGTCCCATGTGCAGTTGGCTCCCCTTGGTCACTTTGGTCTTTGTACAACCTCCACTGTTTCACCCCCACTGGCATTTTTCTATCCTGTCCCGATGTGCTCGGGGAGGGAGGGATATGCTGTTCCATTCTGCGGGATCTTCAATCTCCTCTCCAGGGGATTAATTGCCAACAGTTGCAAGCTGATGCTAAAAAGAATAATATTAGATTGACTGGGGTCAATGAGAGAGAGAGCATGCAAAAACAATACAAAGCCTGTTCAAAGAAGTACTGGTAGAAAATTTCCTAAACATGGAAAAGAATTTGATATGCAAATAAGTGAGGCATACAGAACTCCAATGAGCCATGACCAAAATAAATCCACACCAAGGCAAATAATTATCAAGACCCCAGAAATGCAACACAAGAACACAATATTAAAAGCTGTACTCCCAAAATCATTTCTGGAAGGAAGTATTACCCTGATACCAAAACCAGAGAAAGACTCAACTAAAAAAGAGAACTACACACCAATTTCTCTAATGAACACAGACATAAAAATCCTTATTAAGATACTGGCAAACAGATTGCTGCAAATCATCAAAAAGATTATACAACATGACCAAGTAAGATTCATTCCAGGAATGCAGGGATAGTTCAACATACACAATTCAATAAACATAATACACTGTATCAACAGAGTCAAAAATCACATGATCATCTAAATAGTTGCAGAAAAAGCATTTGACAAAGTCCAACATCCATTCATGATAAAAACTCTACAGAAAATTGGAATAGATGGGCTTTACCTCAATCTGATAAAAGCCATCTATGAGAAATCAACAGCCAAGATCATACTAAATGGTCAAAACCTAAAAGCTTTCCCCCTAAAATCAGGAACAAGACAAAAATGTCCACTATCACCATGCCTATTCAATATAGTTCTGGGAACAGTAGCCAGAGCAATCACACAAGAGAAAGAAATAAAAGGAATAAAGATGGGAAAGAAAGAAGTTAAATTATCATTATGTGCAGATGACATTATACTTTACATAACAACCCAAAAAATTCCACCAAAAGACTTCTGGATTTAATAACCAAATTCAGTAGTGTAGTTAGATACAAAGGCAACACTCAAAAATCAATAGCATTCCTGTACACATACAACAAACTTGCAGACAAATTAGTGAAACAATACCTTTCACAGTAGCATCAAAGAAATGAAATACTTCGGAATCAATCTCACAAAGGAAGTTAAAAGATCTTTCAAATGAAAATTACAGTACTCTGAAAAAGAAGATCGAGGATGACATCAGAAAATAGAAAGATATCCCTTGCTAGTGGGTTGGAAGAACCAACATAGTGAAGATGTGCATATTCCCAAAATTGTTATATATATTTAACACAATCCCAATCAAAATACCATTAGCATACCTCACAGAACTAGAGAAATCATTCCTAAAATTCATTTGGAATCAGAAGAGACCTAGAATAGAAAAAAAAAACAATTCTGGGCAACAAAGGCAAGGCAGGAGGCATCACAATCCCTGGTTTGAAATTATACTACAGAGCTTCTGTGATAAAACCAGCACGGTACTGGCAAAAAAACAAACCTGAAGATCAATGGAACAGACTAGAAGATGCAGAAAGAACCTCAAACACACTCAGCCACCCTACCTTTGACAAAGAGGCCAAACATGTTCACTGGAAGATAGTCTCTTTAATAAATGGTGCTAGGAAAACTGGCTTCCTACATGCCAAAGACTTGTTCATTCAAGAGATGCAAATGAAAACATCGCTGAGATTCCATCTCATTCCAGAAAGAATGGCTATCATCAAGAAATCAACTAACAACAAATGCTGGTAGGGCTGTGGGGAAAAAGGACCCTTCTCCACTGTTGGTGGGAGTGCAGACTGATGCAACCACTATGGAAATCAGTGTGCAAATTCCTCAAAAAACTAGGATTAGAGAACCGTTTGACCCAGCTATTCCCCTTCTGGGTATCATCCGAAAAGAATTAAAAGCATCACACCACAATGATATATGTGCACTCATGTTTATAGTGGCACAGTTTGTAATAGCTAAATCTTGGAAACAACCCAAATGCCCATCAACTGATCAATGGATAGAAAAGATTTTTTATATAATGGAGTACTATTCAGCCATAAAGAAGGATAAACTTGAGGCATTTATAGGTAAATGGATACATCTTGAGAACATACTTTTAAGTGAAATAAGTTGAACACACATGTGTAAATATCACATTGTCTCTCTGGTGTGAGAAATTGAAAGCAAAAATAAAGACCAAAAAGAATAATAAATATACTGAAATAGGAAGAAATTATTCAAAATTATACAGATGTGATACTTTGTGAATACTTAAAATGTTTTAAGCAAACAAAAGACATAGTATTACTAAAAAATGAACTGAGATTACCAAATGAAAATGTATTCTTTTTAGAACATGATACAGTGTATTTACCATTGTTATTCTCTAATAATTTTTGTGCTGAAAAATTATTCTTTCATAGAATGGCTTTTATATTTTATTAATATCTGCTTGTGTTATATTAAAATAAAAATTTTTTAAATGTTTTTAATTATAAAAGTATATGCATTTGTATTATGAAATGGTACACTTAAGGTTGTCCATTTTGCTGTAAATTTTATCTCAACAAAAAAGAACTACAAACAAATATCAAACTCTTGTTATGTATGCTGAAGTGTTTAAGACTGAAGTTACTGATACGTACAACTTACTTTGAAATACATAAAATAAGATGGAATTATAAGTGAGTAATACATTGACTATATGAATTGTTACATGAAATATCAAATACAATAAACTATTAACTGTAGAATCTAGGTACTACAAGATAGTATAATAAGGGCAAATAAGAAAATAAATTAATTACACACTGTCTTCACTGACATGAATCAGTAAAACAATAGAAAAATAGTACTGAAACAGTAACTCAAGGTATTTCTTATCCTTT